GGAAATGTGGTATGATTGTCAATGTGACAACAGTTACTATCCAACAGAGTACCAATGAAGCGGATTTAAGCAAATATAGGACGCAGTACAATGAACAAAACCTATACCGTTTAGTCTTTGATAAAAGGCCCCGACATGACCTAATGTGAAATAATTCAAACGAAAAATCCACAAAATGACAAAACAATAAACAAAACATAATTATGATAGACAACAACCAACGCAAACTCCGTTTTTGACCTATTCCATCCATGGAGTATTCTCCCTTACTACATTAGTGTATAGGTGAGACGATAGTATTTCTTGGTGCATATTGATAATGATAGCTTTTTTTTATTAAATGTTCGCCACTTTCTAACACTGACCCAGAACCTACATACACAGTTAACTGAAGTACTTTCATTATAATATTCAGAAATAAATTGGAATATGTATGATCACTGTTTACCTTTTCTGCTATCTTTATAAACATGCGGCCACTAGTGCTTTCATGCCTTTTGTCGTGCAGTGTCCACCTAGAGAAGCATGCGGATCGGTGAGTTTTTGCTATACTAGACTATCGAAAATGCAGGTGAACGGATTAATCTGGCATTGATATGGGTTATGATAATGGCGGCGCTAAAACGTTCACTTGTAATTTTACTTATCATTTATAAAATATTCTGTGCCCTATGTCTGATTCGTAGTAGAGGTTGATTATCCGAGTGAGTATAATACGACACCACCATGCAGAATTATTTTTAAAATTAGACTATGAAACACAGAATTAGAAAAAAACATTATTTATCGATGACAATTTCTTAATTCCTACCACCAGGAGGACGATGACTGGTGGGAAAGGGGCGTCAAAAAAGGCTTATAGGTTTGTTCTTTCACTGTTATCTTTTACTAAATCTATGGAAAATATCTTACCAAAAACATGCTATTTGGTGGTAAAATTAATAACGATTATCGTTCTTTAGTCTACTTAAATTACTAAGTTTCCTTACAAGGAAAATGAGTGTTGGTTCAAATGTTCGAGTTTATGAATAAACTGTCAAATTATAGTTTAATAATTTTGTACGATAGGGTGAATATTTTTTTAATGGTAAAGAGGTGGACGAGTATATAGTTAACTAGTTTTTTTAACTGTCAGTCAGCAGGGTTTAAGACCATCAGTTGTTCGACCTGCTAGTCAAATGCGTTTTGTTAAAATATACTTTTTCACTCATTTGGTCTTTTGGAAAATGTTGTTTGTGCTGTATTTAGACCCCTCTATCAAGAAATTTGTTTTGCTTGCACACGTATAAAAATTGCGGTTTTTATCCAACGCAATCATAGGTTTGGACGTTGTTTTCAATTTAGACTTGTTAAGGATGTACACCTCTGAGGAGCCAAAAATTTCTAGAATTAAACTTTTTTTCTTAACACGATTTTTTTGGTTTATAAGACTGTAAAAAAATATTTGGTGAAGAAAAAATCATATGGTGGTGCACTTCTTTTTTTGATACGGCCCTTTGAAAGTACCAAATTTTGATGATTTTCCCATTTTTCATCAATTTATACCCATTTTTGGGCTATTATCGTGAAAAAAATCACAGTTCCACAATTAAACTTTTTTTCATACTTCAAATAAAGATGAATTGGACCAATCTGAATAAATTTAATTTAAAAAAAACTATAGGTAGCCTAAGGTGTTAATATAAGAAAGTTTTATCATATTTTGATGTTTTTTCGTGTCAAATTTACCATGCTGTCAATTTTGTAAATTTGTAATTTTTCTCTGTTTTAAGAACAAAATGCATATTATTTCAACTTCTTTGTTATAAATGATTGAAAAAATACATATCTAAGAAATTTGAAAAGAAAAAAGTTATATGGGATGTACATGTTTCTGGTAAAATAATTTCTTGTATCCCTCACCCTTTTTCTCAAATTTTGGCTAAAAAGACTGACTTCATTGGTAATAAAATTTGAAAAATTTATTACTTAAAAACTACTTATTGTAAAAACACAATTTTTTCACAGAGTTAAGTTTGATTATGATATTTATTAAATTCATTGCTATTTTCCACTTCTATCACATGTTTCGGAAGTAACTCTAGAACGAGATTTCAACGAGACTGAAACGTCAGAAGAATACATCATTAACTAGTTTTTTATATACCATATATCTGGTTATTTTTGCGTCAATTGTTTGCGGCGAAATAATTAGAATAAGACCGCTAGTTTTGTCGTATGAATTGTTTCACATTTTGCATGTCAGGCCCTTTTATAGCTGGCTATATGTTATGGGTTTTGTTCATTGTTGAAGGCCAATTGGGTTTAATTTGTTCGAGATTTCGTAATGTCAGGCGCCTATTCAGACACTAACACTAATATTAAATCCTTGAGCTGATGGAATATTTTTTAGAAACAGGCGTCTTGAGTACGGAAGTTGGTACACTTTTTTTTCATTATTTGGATATCGAGCCGAATGGAGTCAAAGATTAAGGTGTCATCAGATATAAAAGGTTGCGACTGTGTTATAATGTCAATTGTTCACTCTTTTCATGATTTTCTTAAAGATCATCCACTGCATGCATTATCATTCTGCTTAACCAGATATCCTTCTTATTTACCAATATACCTCTGGTGATTTAGGAATTATTGATAATTTTTAAATGATTTGTCGTGGCTCAACACGGTCATTATTCTGTCTAGATCTATACCGGACAAATGGTTGTAAACTTCAGCAAGCTGGTCATGTAGACGTTATTCTACGCGTATTTGCTTTCATTTTAGTGCTAAAAAGAACTGATATAAAGGTAGGTTTTTGGTTGGTTTTGATCCTCTGGTAAACAGTAGAAACAAAATAACGCATAACTGAGAGGGTGATAACGCAGATTGTTAAACATTAAGGAAAATGTTACCCGCTGAGTCATCTGTTATAGTAGAATTTTACTCCCATATTAACCCATGAAAACTGTCATCTTAACATGAAGTACGATAATAATAATTATCTAACATTTTTTATGATGCTTTTTGAGAGACCGTAGTTGTCAGCCCTTTGGGTTTATGCCTCTTTTAAACAGTGGGCAAACCTTATCAAAGAATTAATTCCTTTTTGATTATACCTCTTTCAAACAGTAGTTTTCTAACCTTTTGAACCATGCTTCTAACAAACAGTCACTTTCTGATCTATATAGGATTATGACTTTGACGAACAGTAAGTATAGTTTACTGACCTCTGAGAGGAGCATTTCAAAAACATTGTCATTTTGCCACTGACATACAGTATTTTATTATTTTTCCTTAATTTTATGATATATTATAACCATGTTTATTAGTTTTGATGCTCAACGTTTTCGATCACAAACCTGAACAGCATGCTTCTTGTGTGTATTCCTGTCTTCTTCTCCCTCGATTTGTTATGTTGTTTTATTCTATCTTTTTATTGTTTACTTCGTTATTGTTCTCACGATATACGATATAGAGTTTATATCAGTAACTTAACTTCACCAAACAAGTAAACATAATATCACTGTCCATGCACACCAGCATTTGCCTATTTATGTAGTATTATGAAAATGAGTGTAACACATGTTTTCATTTAATAGTGTACTTATTCATGAACCGAAATCAGAACACAAACCCTTTACAGAACTTTAAGTAAAGATGAGCACTGGTATTGCTGTTCTCCATCTTGAATTCATAGTTAGGCTTTTAAACATTGTCTGTTCTTCTGTTATGGGAGTTATGTTATTTGAGTTGACGAGACATTTAGTACACTTTTGCTTTTCTCATTGATGAGGAGAGCTAGGAGAGGACCTTGAAATGACTTTCTATTTTGGAAAGGTGTCTTTGGAAAAAGGAGGTATGGCAATTTTTTCTTGAATCTATTTCCTACCAGGACCATTTTCCTAAAGTATTTCAGTATTTAGTAAAGTAAAGTGTCGCATCTTCATGAATGTACTTTGCACATGTATATCAATTTTACGGTTTAGGCGATACTGCATTAATTAGTGCTTAAATATGCTTGTCTCTATAAATAAAATACTTTATACCTTATTTAAAGGTAAATAGATACTTTCCTCAACATGCAGAGACAATTGTTTGTGCCAAAATTGCAGTTTTGGTTACTTTTGGCGAAGAGACTTCTTTTGTTTTCTCGTTGAATTCGGAAATAAAGAAATTTAACATATTTATCAAATAACATCCTTTATATTTGTTCCAATGTTTCAATTTCAACATGTTATGACATCATAGTAACATCGAAACTGACATTTCTGTACTTCAATTATCAGATTATATCATCAATTCAATGATGGATTAACTTTGACAGGATTCAAGATTTTTGCTATTTTTGCTATTTCAGGGACCAAAGTATTATCTTTAATCATATATCCTCCTTTTAAATAGAAATGCAAAGTATCAATTTTTTTCCGTGTATTACTATTGACTTCAAAACTAATGCTTCCTGAATGGAAAAATCATATTTTCTACATACATTTTTGTAACATGCAATGCACATAGATCTTAAATCATTTCAATACAAAGTTATTAATAATCAAATCCCGGTGTATTTACTTGACTAACTGGTGAAATTAAAATAGGATGGAATATAAACATACATATGTACATGAAGACAACATTATTATTAAGAGTGCAAAAAACAAATAAAAACTACACATACAAATATTTTGAATCTTGCAAAAGCGAACTTCGGTCAAACATAATTGCGAAAAACTTTCAAATGAAGAATATTCACCAGATAAATGTTCAAGACAAAATTTATTATTTTCATAATGTCTAGATCCGACAACATTAATTAAATGCCTTTTTGTGTTGGACCAAATTTAACAGCAACAACATCCGATAATCTCTCTAACCTGTTAATTCTACATGAAGCACTAAAATGTAACATAAATGTACAAGTATATGCATTTTCATATTTCTATTTTATACGAAAAATCAATGAATGGGATCATAAAAAAATCATCTTGAATATAATCATTATCTATATTTACATATGCTTATTACTATTTATCAAAGCCACAACATCGTATGGCATCGTTTTCCACACAATCTCCATTTCTTATTTTATTTGCAGGACAAAAATCATATCCTTTATAACAATTACAAGATGTCTCCTTGAAAGCAACCGGAACATAGACTGGCGCCTGCGTAGTTGGAACATTAAAGAACCACCACATTCCTGTTGTTGTAGGAACAGGGATAGGCGTTGTTCGAACCGGAAGTGGTTGAGGAGGTCTTGTTGTTCTATAGCTTTCATACTCGATTTCTACTTCAGGTGGCTTTGCTGTTGTAGTTGTTGTAGTTTTTGGAGGTGGCGGCGGCCTTGTTGTTGGTTTAGTTGTAGTTGTTGCTGATATTGTAGGCTGAGATTGCTGAAACAATGAAGCCAAGAATGCAAAAGGAAAGAAATTTTGTACGGGTGGCTGCGTTGGCTGTTGAGGAGGAGGAACATATTGTGGTGCAGGTGGTGGTTGCACATATATAGGCTTTTGAGGTCTTGGTGGTTGTGTTGGTGGTACATATATGGGTTGTTGAGGTCTTGGTGGTGGTGGTTGTGGTACATATATGGGCTGTTGAGGTCTTGGTGGTGGTGGTGGTGGTTTTGGTACATATCTAGGCTGTTGTGGCGGTGGTACATGTACATATCTAGGTTGTTGTGGTGGTGGTACATATCTAGGTTGTTGGGGTGGTGGCCTATATTGAATTACTTGTTGCTGTCGAGGCGGTGGTGGTGCTCTCCTAGGCGGAGGTGGTGCTGGTACTCGTCTTCGAGGAGGAGGCAGTCCATGAGCTGGTGGAGGACGACGCGGAGGTGGTGGTGGTGGTTGTCCTCTACGTCTAGGTGGCGGGAGTCTTTGTTGTGGACGTGGTGGAGGAGGAGGAGGTCTGCCTCGTCTTGGAGGATGTGGATGAACTGAAAAAAGAAATATTCCTTATTTATTATGTGGAAAATAAATTAAATGGCAGCTCTTTTGTCATTTGTTAAATGCATTCGATAATTTCTAGAAACCGGTGTATTGACATCACTATTTGTATTAGATGTCTTTTGTTTTGTGTGTTGTTAGATCGTTGTTTCAACGACTTGAAACAACACATCTCATTTCATCTATATCTAAATGACCTCTTTACAGTCCATTATGCTTAATATTTATTCTCAAAGAAAAATTATATCAATTTTTGTTTTGTTTTAACATAATTCGTAACTTTTTCGTCAGTTCTTAAACTTTTTACTTTCCAAGTATTTTGGTTTGGCAGTCGTATTATTTCACATCTAATTAACGAGGTTAAAAAGGAAATTAAACACCATTTTTTTTTTTAACACAATGTAAAACAATTATGAAAGAAACCTTTCAGTTTGTATATATTTTTGTTCCAATAAACTAATCGTCATTACTGATTTGATTCTATTATTACACACTTTTAACACAGATTATTTCCCTTTGCAAAGTGTAGACTGGTTCTATGCTGGACAAAAATAGCTGCTTTTAATCCAAGCCATGATATGTTGAAAGTTATAAGATAGGGAAGGCATCGATAGATTTGCTTTTCTGCTAGCTCTTCATCGTCCCTCCTAAGGGTGACGACTAACAAATGGATCTTTAATTACAGGGTCCAGTACGGAATTGCTAAATAGATTACTAGTATTGCAAAATTATCGTATTCGTATATAGTGTTTTATAAACGACTTCCGTTGTTGATCGACTCTTTGATAGATAAATTTTGGTGTTGTATACATTTTAAAACTCTACTTAAAACTTTAATGCGGTTTAAAAATAACCATGACGTTTATTCTACATGTGGTACGCACGGAAAATGATTGATTGATAGATACTTGCTTATAACGCTCAGTAGCCAACATCACCTAAATATTTAGCACAAGAACAGTCAAAGTAACAATTAACACAAAACGGAATGGTTCTGTGATGTAGGTCGACCGGAATGAAGGGTGGGGAATTTTGATTTGACTGGAAAATGAGGGTATGTTGTTACGGTAATGGGACAACGCTTTTGTCTTGCAACTGACCACCACAGAGAGTTACTGCAAGGGTTTCTTAATGTGCAGCCAGCTCGGCACTCAGCCTATACAGGTCGTCGAATTCAACTTCCCCATTCTGACTTGACGTACAGAAATAGACGATTACATCAATTACAGGCATTTAAAATTGTATGTATGTTAAACGAATGGTCAATCACAGTCTGAGTTTATCAATAATCTCCCCTTTGCCATAGTCAGTTTACTGTAGAAAGAAATTTAGGTATAATCATTCCCGATCTATTTTATGTCTTCGCTATCGTAAGGGTAATGTCACTAAGACCTAGGAGGACAACAACCACCTCTTTAGACGTACAAGGGCGGTATATTTTTTATTTTATATGTAGTGTGTATTCATTAAAAGAAATTTGGTCTGGCAACATAAAAAGGGCATTCAAATAATTGCTGAAACATATGCCCTTTTCTATATAAATGAAATTATGAATTAATCTGACCAATAAATACACCAATACATTTATCACCGTTTTTTGCATAAAATATTGCATAAATTGGTTTCTTTTAGTTTTTGTAAAACTTTGCATTGAAGCAAGCAAACTAAAATGACTGAACTCTTCATAGGAAGACAACTCATAGCTTTTTATTCATTTTGTTTTGGTTTGATTTATTGATCATTGAACCAACTTTCGGATAATTTATCTGTAGTTGAATATAAATACAGTGGAAAGTGGCGATTCCTACTTTATCTGGAATACAATTAAAACAGTTGGCGGTGACAATAATGCTACCCTTTATATGCCAAGTGTGTTTCCTTCTGAAATGGTGGATTCTCTTTTAAACTTTTAAAAAAAGAAACGATTTAAGCCATGCATTTTCATTGACCAAAATAAAGAATCGATTTATATCACTAGAATATTAACGCAACAACACAAATTCACCATAGGTGTTATATATACAACCAGAGGTCATAATAAAAATGGACTTCTGATGCAACTTGATGGTCTGAAATTAACACCAATTTTCTAAACAGAAATACTAAATAATAGAAAGATATAGGGACAAACAATCAGACGACCGCTGGAACTTCCATCGTTCATGCTAGATTTGCACCAAAGCTTTAGTTTTTGTTTTTGTTTTTTATTTACATTAATATATAAAAATAAGTATATGTGTTACCATTGCCAATGAGGCACCAAAAGACGTACATCCAAACCACGGGCTTCAACCATGAACAACACTCATACCGTATAGTCAGCAATAAAGTCCCCAGCAGCACCAAATGTGAAACAATTCAAACGAGAAAAACCAACGGCCTAATTTATAACGTCCTTATATGTTGCATCTTGAACCTAAATTTATCTCATTAATATATGCCAAATGAGCACCACCGAATAAGAATTTTATGTTTTCAAAATTAATTTGTTTTTGAAAGCGTCCTTATTTATTACATGTAAAAATGTAATATTTCTTATTTAATGTTGAACATTATCTTAAAAACAAAGGCAATTATAAGTAAATTAAAAAATTAACTGCTAGTACATAATGTGTCATTTTAATGTTTTATTAGTGTACGGTATAGGTGTTAAGAAATATGGTCTCGCATAAACTTTGTTTAGTTCAAAACTTGCGATTAGTTCCACAGGGGTCAAAATCAACTCCTACAAATATTCACCCAAATGGACCACAATGGACCTAATGCATAAGAAATTGTTATTCTGTATTGCTTTTTTATAACCTTTACCAGAGGGCTTCAGTACAGTTGAAATGCGTTTTCCAAAAGTGTAAATCATTATTTTTTCGTTACAAAATGTTGAATTTGCTAACTTTAAAATCTGAATATTATATGTCTGAAAATTGATTTTTTCTTAATCAAGCAAATGAGCAAATCGCCACAACTAAGGAAGGCAGCCACATTATTGCTAATACAGTAGCACACTTTTAAGGACACGACGAGAAGAAAAATATAATGTAAGCATGCCTTTGAAAATGACCGGCCATATGCATACACCTGTCCAAATACAGGAACATTGTAGGTGGTGGTCTCTTATGTCATATTTTAATGTTTTTGATAATTGGAGAATTTTGAATTGATGTTTAATTATTTTTAATTTTGTTGAATTTTTTCACCACAGTTTTAGATTCTGGCGATTTAAAGCTTAACATAATACGCACATGTCTATCGTTCAAAACTGTATGTTGCACTTTATATGTTTTGGTTTTTTTTTTTTTTTTATTGTTTCGTTGAGTTGCTGTCACATTAACGTATACACTTTATCTCATTTTCTTTTATTCGTTTCTTTTAAAAAGCTTTTTTAAAGCACGTCTTGATGGTTCTCTAAAAGCACATTTCTGTAAACAAATGCCAATTTCATCTAAAAACAGCAATTTTAGGGAATATAATTTGAATATAGCTATATAATTTAATTAACAAAAATTAAGAGTCTAATTTTATTCAACCGTTGGTAGACAAAAAAACATAACAAAATATATATGAATATTTTTCCCCTGATTACTTCAAGACCTACAGATTCTTTTTTTTTCTTTTTTTTTTTTTTTTTTTGCATTTCGAACTTGACTTCAACCCCAAGGACAAAGATGGCATAACTAATAGTACTAGAAGAGGGCGGAAAATAATAAGTGTCCTTACAAACTAACAACCATTAAATATTCTTTTTGTTCAGATTTTGATGAAAAGCCACACAAAATATTTTGACATTAACAAGAAATACACAAAAAAAAAGAAAAATGGTATTTTCCTTAAATATCTAAGTAAGTGTCATAAAAATGTTTGTCCTAATGATAAATGGCACAACTGATGTTATCACTAATAATTTGTGTCGAAAGAAAAAAAAATAGATAGTTGCTGCTTGTACTAATTTACTAACATTCGTCAGAGCTTCAAATGATCGAAAGTTCAAGGGCTGACTGGTGTTAAGATATTGGTCATCCCTTGGTCTTCTGGCAGTAAAAGTCTTTCCAAAAATGGGTCGTCCGTTTGGCTTTGCGGGGTGTATAAATTCGTAGCAACGTCCGGTCAGAATGGGGGCGTTAAATCTAATCTCTGTGATAGAGTGCTATGCTCTCTACAGGAACTCTCAACAACTCTTTGAGGGGCCATGACCTGTTGCGAGGCAACATATTTGACCCTTTCAAACATATCATTGTTTTTAAGTTGCAGTCCAAATTCCCCGCGACTTATCCCAGTCGACATCCTATTGTAGGACCTACCTATTGTATTTATTGTTAATTTGTTCTCGTCATAAACTTACATGAACTGTTTGCCACTGGACGTGAAGAAACAACAATCAATTAATTAAACAAATGGTGGGTAAGAATAGGAATAAGGGTCAAAATTTGTAAACAAAATTAATCATCTACTCGAGATCGTCAAATTTACAATTTTAAATATGGATTTTGCCGAGTGGAAATATTTAAGAAAACGTTTTAACTTGTAAAGTGGTCAAATCTGGTACAACAGTTGGGGTAAATAACAAAATGACTGGCTTTCAATATATATATATTCGTTGTTTTCCATGTATCGACGGTGTCACGTGCATCGAAATGCATGATGACAGGTTTCCATACGATATGGTTTGAGAAAACCAAAGGCATGTTGGTCTATTGTAAATACAGATAAAATAAAAAAATACTTCATTGGTAGATGTATTGGTTGATCAATGTCTAGTACCAAATACTTCAGCCCTAGTCAGTCTCTAATAGATTGGATCTGAAAATTTGTCGACTGGGAATCTACCAGTGAAAAGGGTTTATTTTTGGAAAGGGAGCAAAACTTGCGCAAAGGTAAAATAAATGTTGAATATTATATAAGAAATCAAAATTCAAAAGAGGCAGGGCCAACTTCCCCTGCATTTTTTTCGTCCATAGGTTGAAAATCTTAAAGGTGTAAAAACCTACTGGTATTCGAATATCAAAGAACCTATATGCAATTTCCATACAAATTATGAAAAATGTTACATATTTCAACTAAATACAAATGATAATTTGAACGACACATTGTTGTTAAAGACAAATGGTTATGTCTCTAACCAAAAGGAATGAATTTGTATATAAAGAAAAATCTTCCTTTTCAAATTTGTTGCTTTGTTTTCACAAAATTTTGGTTATGGTTAACAATGTCCTCCTTT